ACTACAGCCACTATGCTGCATAAATCTCAAAAAAAGTAATTCCTGGCATTTAACTGAATCTCTTTGTCCTTTGACCAAGATCTTCCCATCCTATCTTCCCACCCACCCTATCTATCCCCAGCCTGGGGTGACTGCCCTTCTGCCCTCAGCTCTACAGAGATCACCTGTTTCAGATTCCACACACAAGTGAGCGCCAGCAGCATTTGTCCTTTCTGGTCTTCCTAACGTCTTCCACCTTCACTGTTTTGCTACCACTGTCAAGACTGTGTTCCCTCTGTGGCTGCGCAGTATCTCACCTGTTCTGTGTGTAGACACATTTCGTCATCCACCCCTCCCTCCTTCAGTGGGTTCTTAGGTTGCTTCCACAGCTTGCTTCTGTGACTGACTCTGTAGTGGACATGGAACTGCAGACATGCACTCCACACCCTGTTTCAGTTCTGAGGCAGATATGCCCAGACTACCGTAGTAAAGGCTTAGAATCAGGCTGTGTGTGCATGTGTGTGTGCCTGTGTGTGCTTAGGTATATGTGAGCACATGTGCATGTATTTTTACATATTCCATAACTGTAATGTTGCAGCAAGCACAATTTTGTGTCCCTCTGTGCCTTAAAAACATATTCTGGACATTTGTGTGTGGGGTGTGTGTGTGTGTGTGTGTGTGTGTGTGTGTGCGCGTGCGCGCATGCGTGCGTGTGTTAAATCTTGAATTTGCTGCCCCTGTGCCCAGGTATTGCTGTGCTATGACTCATTTCTCCTTACGAGGCATTTGGGAACTTTGCATATTTTTCCATCTTAAGTAAGCTGCCAGGAATGTCTTTCCAGATCAACCTTTGTTATTCAACTTGGAATGAAGTTATTGGGTCAGAGGGCATTTTCAATTTAAGCCATGACTCTGCTTAGAGTGAGAAGCTTAAGCACAATAGGTTATTTCCAAGAGAAGCAAATCCAATTGTTTTTGGGCTGGAAAATGTCTCCCAGGGATGAGCACAGGAGGTGACTGTGTCCACTGCACTTATTCATCTACACATAGGTGCACACACCTTACAAATGTTTCCTTTAAAAACAACCTGAGCGGCTTAGCCGTCCCCACCCTCCACTCCTCCTCCACTAACTGGAACTACTATTGGGTTCAGCCATGCCCAGAAATGCCAGCCACGAGCTGATCCAGAGGCACCACTCAAACTCCAGGCAGTGCACAGCTGACCACAGGCTACAGCAACAAGAAAAGTAATGACTACAAAGGCAGATAGGAGTGTATCACAAGGGATGACATGGAGAATGACAAGCTCAATCCAGGAATTATGCTTCCAGCTCCATACACCAGGCCCTTTATCAACAGCAGAGTTGCCTTTGCCCTGAATGTAAAGATTATTGGTATCCATCTTCACAATAAACTCCTGCAGAAGAGAAGTGTGAGTCACCTTCTCTCCCGCACCCCAGCACTGCCCCTATGATTACCCTTGTGTTACAGCCCTGGCGTCTTTCTTCCATCTGAAGTACCAGTCTGGACTCTTTCTGTTGGGTATACCATGCACCCAGGTCTCAAGACCTGCAACGCTTCCTATGATATAACATGTTGCCAGAGTTTCCCAAGTAGTCATGTCTCTTACATGTTCCCTGCTGATCACACACCTGTATTGCAGTTATCATGACAGTACATGTGGAGAGTGACTTTACACATATACAGAATATCTCCAGGCACAAGCCAATTGAAGAGGAATATGCCTCACTCATGCCCCGTACTAATACTGCCTGAGTGAGTAAGTAGATCAGTGACAGCTGGTTGGGCACACACATACACCACACACACTCACATATGTGTGCTCACCTGAGTACATGCATACACATGGCACTCCCTCAAACAATATTTTCATGAGCTACTCATGGAGAATGAGCTCAGGGTGATTTTCCAAAAAGTAACTCTTGCCTGAACCCAGCTCTGCCCCAGCACATCAAGATCAGTGTGGGCCTCTCAATGCAGAGAGGTAGTAACCTATGTCTGTGCCCACTAAAGAAGACCAATGGCTTCTAAGAAACCTAAAGACACAGCCCCAGGCTCATATTCCTGACTGTTGGCAGATGGAACCCAGGAAATAGTGTTTCTAAGTCTGAGACCACAGATCAGCTACCATGGCTGCTATTAAATGTCACCTACATACCATCTGGACCCTTAACTTGGGAACTGCACAGCCTAGAACAGGCACAGAACCTTCAAGATACCCTGTGTCCCTCCCCATCTCTCTTTCTCCTGCTCCTAAAGCCCCATGGATAGGTGCTGATAAACACTGAGCCCAGGGTCCCACCTCTGCACCACTTCCAATAGGACAGTCACACATCAAGATGTCAGAGACTTTTGTCAAGACAACACAGAAGCTTTCTGTCATGGCCACCATCTCACGGTTCAGGTGTGAGCTAGCCTGATAGCCATCCTGAGTGTTGTTTCTTCTCTTGCTGTTCTGAATTTTTTCTTCTGGTGTGGCCAAGACAGGGCCCTCTTAATTCTGAACCATGATTTAGCCTCTTCTTAGCCCTCTGAGGGCATTAGCTACTAACTGTATCAGCAGAATGTCTCCGAAGACAGGAAGCACCCAGCCTCTTGAGGAAACCACAGGAAGCACTAGACATGAGTAAAGATCAGGAGATGGCAGGATTCTGTGTGTTGGAACATGTGTCCTGCAATAACAGGACTTGCTCCCAGAGTGAGCGAGAATAATCTCCCAAGAGTTTTGTAGCACACTTTTTTTTTTCTACCCTGAGCATGGTTGGATAAACGTGACAATTTAGAGAGAGAACAATGTTCTGAGGTCAGCCCAAGTGGCTCTTGACGGAACAGCTATCCTCAGATTTTAGGGCACAGTAAAACAAGTTTAATAAGGTGTCTGGCTCAAAATAAATCAATAGCTTTGCTTTGTACCAACCCTAACCTGGAGGAAAATGTCACAGGAGGAGAATTTCATGCCCCAATCCAACAACCAAGACAATAATATCCAGGGCCATTCCCCAGGAGGTATGTGAACTCCTTGATGCGCACTGCGCAGCTTAAGAGGTCAGAGAAGACTTATCTTGTTCCTTAAGAGGAACAACTGACATTAAAGTTCCCATGGCCCAGATGTGTCTGTGTTCCCTGTACCAAACGCAGGTCTCATTATGCTCAGATGCTCTGGTGTCTGTGTTCGCTGTACCAAACGCAGGTCTCATGCTCAGCTGCTCTGGTGTCTGTGTTCGCTGTACCAAACGCAGGTCTCATGCTCAGCTGCTCTGGTGTCTGTGTTCCCTGTGCCATGGGACTAATGTCCCATCCCTGTTGTGTTCTCATAGACATGCAAGTTTCTGGTACCCAGCAAGGGTCGATAAATATTGTCTGAGTTAACCATGAAGATGATGAAGATGAGGATGAATCTATGCTGATATAATCAGACCTCCAGGGAATCTGAGGTTCAGCTCTAGAATGCAAAGAATGGTTTTGAACCCCAGTGGCTCTGAGGGTTTAAATCTTTACACACAGCCATTGTACCTGGCCTGGGGTAGAAAGAGATGGTAATGAATGCTTCGAAGATGGCTGTGACGATATAGAATTCTCCTCTGACTTTTCCTTAAAGTGGTGCTGGGGTGAATGGGGCTCTTCGAAATGTTCTAGAGACTTCTCCAGGGACGGAGAAGTCTGAACTATAGTGTCAGCTAATTGACAATGTAATGAAAGAGACACTTTTTATCTGAAGCCAAACCGACTCCATGACAGCAGCTCTTCCTGCCTTCTTAGAGTGCCAGAGTCACAGTGTGATCCCGACAGCCTTCCTGGAACATTAGGAAGGGAGAAGCAGCTACTCAGATTAGAAGCCCCACCACTCAGAGAAGCCCAGAATTTAGCAGGGAGTGAGAAACACACAGAGAGAAAGAGAGAACAGACAGAGAAAGACACCCACACACAGAGAGAGACAAAGACAGACAGACAGACAGACAGACAATTTTGCATGTACAAAGGGAAGCTGTGAGCTGTGAAGCAAACCAGATGACGGGCACAGGAGTCAGGAGGTGGTTGATGAGAACCGTCAGGAGATTTAGGAGCCGGAAGTTGGAGTGCTCCATTAAGCCTGGCATGTGGACACGGGGTTATGTCACTCAGCAGAAGGGGACCCACACACAGTTCTGAGCAGAGGGTGGGAAGCAGCTGTGGGGGAGAGTTGGGGTTCTGAGGAAAGTCAAATGTGATATGAAGAGAACTCCAGGAGACTTGGGTGAGGGCTTGAAACAAGAGGACATCTTGGTGAACCCTGTAAGGAGGCGCCAAGAGGGCACATCTGATGCAAAGGCCACCTGAACCAGCAGGACAGACCACCCCTGTTGCTCAGAAGCCTGAAGCATGTGACTTGGAACTCATACACAAGTTAACTAAAAATACGCCAGGGAGGAAGATACATGCTGAATGCAGGGATGTGGCCATGTTAGGAGTGAGGAGAAGGGCTGAGGGACGACAGCAGGGCCAGGCCCACGGCTGGGCTAGTCAGGACTCTGGGGGCAAATTTGTAAACAAAAGACAGAAATAACTTGTTCTCATATACAACAATTAGATCGGACGACAGCAGGGCCAGGCCCACGGCTGGGCTAGTCAGGACTCTGGGGGGCAAATTTGTAAACAAAAGAGAAATAACTTGTTCTCATATACATTGATTGAACAAGAAAAGGGCAACACAAGCCCCCTTGTCACCCACAGCGGAAGTGGAGGCAGAGAAGCTGAGAGTCCAATGCGGGGGCCAGAGTCCATGCACGGGTAAGATGCCCTTGGCTTTTGTGTTCATTGTCAACCCAGTGAGCTCTGGAATTACCTGGGATGTGGGACTCTGAGTATGTTTGCAGGGAATCATCTAGGCCAGCGATTCTCAACCTGTGGGGGTTAACTGACCCTTTCACAGGGGGTCCCATACTAGATATTTACATTATGATGCATAACGGTAGGAAAATTGCAGTTATGAAGCAGCAATGGAAATAATTTTATGGTTGAGGTTCACTACAACACAAGGAACTTTATTACAGTGTCACAGTATTAGGAAGATTGAGAACCACTGCTCCAGACAATGTCAACTGAGGTGAGAAGACCCATCTTAGCTGTAGGCAGAGCCACCCCCTGACAGGACTCCTGGGCTGTATAAAATGGAGGATCTGGTTGAGTGTAAGCATTTGTGCTTTCTCTCTTTACTGGATGTGATGTAACCGACTGCCTCCAGCTCCCACTCTGCAAATTCTATTCTCCTCTGTGATTGACTGTAACATAGAACTGTAAGCTAAAAATGAACCCTTTCTTTCTCAACTTGCTTCGGTCAGGGCACTTTCTCACAGCAACGGATGCGAAACCAAGGCAGCCCTATTCTGCACGTTACCAGAACCTCTCCCGGTCTCGCAATCTGATGGAACAACCACAGCGTCTATAAAGGGCCCTGAGCAGCCTGCTTCAGCGTGAAAGTGGTGCTCAAATGATCCAAAGTCAGGGCGAAGTGAGCAACCTAATAGGATTTGGAAGTTCTGAGGAGCACCCGAATGGTAATATTTAGGACTTCACTAAATGGAATTTTCTGGCTCCTTGGATTCAGTCATGCAGGCAGAGTATGGCTTATGCAGCTAAACACTCCTTAAGAGGGTCTTAAAAGACTCTTGACTTAGAGTTTACCGATTTAAGCGACATTGAAATGTACTAAACATGAGGCTGCCTCGAGTGAAGATGGTGTCCAAAAGACAGAGGGACAATCTAAGTTGCCATTGCCCTTCCTGTGACACCTAAAGTGACACGGATGCTTCCATTATGATGAAAGTGAGAAGCTAAAATGCTCTCAAGCACACACTACCAAGTTTAGAGGGCCACTGATTGATAAAACTGGGGCGCTGCAGACACATTTTGCTCCTTGGCTAAGACAGTCACTGCTCAGGACAGGGTGGAGATGACAGCCACGATGGAGGCCACATCGCTGAACACGGGGTCCTGGTGGAGAGTGGCTGGAAGCCCACTGACAAGTTCGTCACTGTAAAACCACCTTCCCTTCTTCTCCAGTCCCACAGCTTCAGAAAGCAAGCGGGAGCTTCTGGAGAAGGGTGTTCCATCCCTCAGAGTGTGGTTCTAGGGACAGGAATACAGGACCATTCTTTTAAAATTAAGCATGTACATGAACGCATATACTTGTATACACACTCCGTGCAAGCTTAGACATCGGAGAGGCAAAAATAACAAACAAACGACAAACTTGGGATGATTAGCCTGGAGACTGTAAGGACAGAGGGACATTTTTCTGTTTGTTTCTACTCCCTTCTCCCCGCACCCCCACCAACCTGTTTCTTTCTCCTCCTTGCTCTGTATTTCTGACTCTCCCTCCCCCGTCTCCTCCCTCCTTTTCTTTCTTAAGTGTACACACACAAACTCTTAACACACACACATAGACACCAGCTTGGCTCCAAAAGTCCACCACACTCCACAAAGTACAGCTATGCTACAATCGCACAGTCTCTGCTGCGGCTCTCTTTCAGGACTCAGACACAAAAGACACAGGGAGCACAGGGCTTGCACTCACTCCACAGCTGGCTGCCCCCGAGCCCCAACATGGTGTCCACAAGCCTCATGGGTCTGCTGAGCCCGAGACAAGCATGTGAGGTGTGCTGGGGTGGGAAATCTAGTTGACAGCGCCTCATATTTGTTATATAGTGAAATAGTGATATTCTGAATAAACCTCATATTTGTTATATAGTGAAATAGTGATATTCTTAATAAACTAGGTTAAATATAACGTGCTACTCCAGCTACACTAGTCTATCCCCCTTTCCCTATGTGTCCACCATACTACTCACAATCACACACATGGCCCATATTCTGTTCCGGTTGGAGGTGTCTACTCTATAAAAATTGGAGGCATTCGTTCCTTTGTGCTGTGACTTCCCTAACTGAGCCAAGTGTATTTTGTAGGTTTGAGGTCCTCGGAAAACAGAACAGGATGGAATCAGCCACCGGCACAGCTATTGGGTGCTCAGTGTATTTGCTTAGGTGATGGGAGTGCACATCCCTTTCCACTGCCAGGGCTTCTTCATTACTTAGACGCCTCCAAGCCGTGACCTAAAGGAAATGATGAGCAATCATTACTCACTCCTTTCGGAAGCACAAGGCAACGGCAACACATAAGAGTACAGTCCTTTGAGTGGCAAAGCCGTAAACCCATAAGCTTTCAAATTTTCTTGCCATCCTATAAGAATGACTGAAGGTAATGTATTTGCCAATGCCACTGGGTCATGGGGGTCAGACTGTGGTTGCAGCCGCTTGTAGCCAGCCGCCTCTCAGATACATCAGCCTGCTGAAGAATCCGCACAGCATTCCCATTTGACACAAGCCCATTTTCTACGTGTGACCCATTTTTCTGCGGGAAGCCAATTTAGGGAAGGAAGGCAATGAAAGCCTGGGTTGGGAAATTCATTGCCTTTCACTCAGAATGCTTCAAGTGGGACACGACTGTGGAGACACTGTCTTGCTTCTCATAATGCAGGAAGCAGCAGGACTGGGGCTGTTGCAACCCGGCTATTCACTCCGTTGGCAGGGAAGGCTGGAGAGATGCTTTTTCATCTGGAGCTTGTCCCGAAAAGCCTCTGACCTAGAAGAGGTCCTCCAGCCCCTGCCTGCTGGTTTCTGACTTGGTTATGTAATAGGGCATCCAAAGACACTTAAGAAAAGGCTTGCAAACACAAGCTATGGCAGGCTCTGCTTACGTCCCTCCTGGGACTACCACTCTGGTAAAAATAAAATGTCTGTGTTTGTTGGGGCCTCAGCAATTGCATCAGTCTTCACTTGCTGCCTCCTTCTCTTCTCACAGCTCACAGCCTCACAACATTGCTAATTTTGGAGGAGAGGGAACAGGTCCTGCCCTCATGTGGACAGCAGCCAGTTCTCCACCTGCCTAGAGCCCCCTTCTCTTAGGTTCCTTCTCCCACCCCAGCAGTGGCCTTCTTGATTGAGTACTAAATTAGTAGATCACTGTTCTATCTCCAGTTTGGCTTGACGTTATTAGCACCTCCTACTTTCTTTGAGTACAGAGTTCTAGACAAAATCACCTTTCATATGCTTAGTAGTTTATTGTCTGTGTATGAAGGAAATGAAGTCTGTATGTGTGTGTGTGTGTGTGTGTGTGTGTGTGTGTGTGTGTGTGCGTGTGTGTGTGGGGGGGGTGAATGCACAGGTGCTTGTGTGTGTGTGTGTGCGCGTGTGTGCGCGCGCACGCGCACGCGCGTGTGCATGCATGTGCACGAGTGTATCGTACACAAACTGAGAAATCTGGGGGAAGAGAGGAGATTAATATTTGTATCTAAACAAAGGTCAGGTAGGTGTTATGGGTAGGATTGTGTTTCCCCAAACTGACATATGGAAGCCCTAACTTCTAGTACCTCAGAATGTATGACCTTGCTTGGAAGTAGGGTTGCTTCAGATGTAACTTGTGGAGAGGATCCTTGTGACATGGCTGATGTCCTTATAAGAAAGGAAAATTGGGAGAGGACACACTCGATGTTCAAATTATACTTGTATGAATAAAGTTTTTAAATTTAACAATGGAAATCTGGACATAGGCCAAAGTGCCATGTGGAGACAAAGAGAGACGAAGAAGGCAAAGACTGGAATTGATGCATCTGTAAGCCAAGGGATGCTTTGGGTCACCAGTTTCGGCCTGATATTATCTCCCTCCGATCTCTTAGAGGGAACCAGCCAGCCTTCAGCACCTGCGCCCAGACATCAGCCTCTAGAACTGTTTGACACCAGTTTTGATCTTGAGGCCTCCCAGCTGTGGGATATGGTTGCATTAATCCTGAGCAAGTCTTATGGGAAGCCCAGTGAGATTCAGGTAACAAAGCCAATGTTTTATTGTGGCCTGGAGATACAACACACTTTCCCTCCTCTCTCCCATATGCTCCCAGTTTGCAGCTAGAAACAGCTCATCACTATTGCTCCAAAGCAGCCAAGCATGACTGAAAACCTGGGGCAGGCTGTGCTGCTGAGAAGTGGATCTCCAGCCTTCATCCTTCATGACAAGCCAGCTCCTCCCAATGCCCCAGACAGCTGCCCAAAACCCAGAAGAGCCTACTCCCCGCACAGTTCTCAAAGGGCACTCCCCAGATCCCTGGGGGTTCCAGAGACCATGAATAATGTCATTCGACTTCCCTTTTTATTTCCTGAATGCTTGTCTGATGGTGCCAAAGTGACAGTGGGGAATTTTCCAAAAGTAGAGGAACCAGAAGCAACCATTTTGTTCATCCCCAGTAGATATTCTTGAGTGGACCAGGAAGGCAACCAGTATCATCAAGAAGACCCTTGAGGTCCCTGGAAGACCATTCATTTTATTAAGTCTAGAGCCATCAGGTCACAGCTTCCTAGTGTTCTCTGCGACTCAGTGAGACACAGACTGAAGCACTGTGGGCCAGCTGGAATTCCACGCTGGCTCAAGAAGAGCAATTGCACAATTCATTTTAAACCACAAGCTAAATGGCCTCTTTTTGTTTTTCTTTTCTTCCTTTCTTTTTCCCTTTTCCACAGGACAGTGTTATTACTTGAAAGAAAAACTGACACAGCCAGTGTTCTTGAAGTGTGCATTGAGCCCATCTTCTCAGAGGAAAAAATCCAGAGTCTATGTTGTCCAGGATGAGATTTTAGTTAATGGATAAATTGGAATTTCAGGAAACTTGAATCTGTCACCATGAGTAGTTCACTCTGATTTGTTCATGGCTGGTGATGATCTGGATGAGTATGGCTTCTAATACCATGTGGAAAGATGTGTCCACAATGGCAAGAGTTCTTTAAGTCAGTTCCTGACATTGTCTACCGGGCCTGTGCATGGTATAAAATCAGGCACAGACTGGATTCTATTCCAAGCATTCTATTCTAGAGAGTCATGATTTCTTTAAAAATTATTTATTTATTCTTACTTTATGTGCATTGGTGTCTTGCCTGCTTGTGTGTCTGTGTGAGGATGTCAGATCTTGGAGTTACAGACAATTGTTAGCTGCCCTATAGGTGCTGGAAATTGAATCCAGGTCCTCTGGGAAAATAGTCAGTGTTCTTAACCACTAAGCCATCTCTCCAGCCCAGAGTCACGGATTTTTTAATAATACAAAAGATTCGTTGCTCTGGCTTCAGGTTCCACATTGCATCCAATCTAGAGGAGATGCCACTTGCTGGGTTTCTCTGCACTAAAGGAAACCATCGTTATGTGCAAAGCACGTGGGTGCACTCTCCCCCTCCTCCAAGACACACTCATATGCAGCTGTCATCATCACAGGCGTCAGTCAAAACAACATATCAGAATGAACTGGATGCAGATAACAGACACAAGAACCCAACTGCCTTTTTATGAAGCCAGACATCAAAAAGATTGAAAAAAAATGTAATAACACCCCGGTCACCAAATTTTCATAAAAATGTTGTGTAGGCTATCATGAAACAGGCTTGTGACTGTTTCAAAGAAACTAATAAGTAGGTGTAAATGATTCTCCATGTTTGACACGACCACTATCCTTATATATAACCCGTATTAGCAAAGCTGGAGTCGAAATGGTTTTTATTGAATAAAAGGGAGCCTGACACTAAATCACTGTTTCCTTTCAGTTTCTGGGGTAAAACACTCAGACCAAAAGCAGCATGGGAGTGTAAAGGTGATTTCAGTTTATATGTTACAGTTCATCATTGCGGGAAGTCAGGGCAGGAATTCAACCAGGCGCTTGTCAGGAGGCCTGCCTGCTATTCCACACAGCTTTATCCATGACCAAGCAGTTCATCATTGCGGGAAGTCAGGGCAGGAATTCAACCAGGCGCTTGTCGGGAGGCCTGCCTGCTATTCCACACAGCTTTATCCATGACCAAGGAACTCACTCACAGCCAAGGAAGTACAGCAGAAACCATGGAGAAACACTGCTTGCTGCCTTGTGCAGGCTCTGACTCAGCTTGCTTCCTTATATAGCCTAGGTCTACCCGGCCAGGGAATGGTACCAACCATGGTGGACTGGGTCCCCCATGACAATTAACAATCAAGACAGTCTTTCACAGGAATGCCACAGGCCAATCTGACCTTAGGAATTCCTCAGACGAAGTCCTTCTCTGATGTGATTTCTGCGTTGTGACAAGCTGACAGTTAAAACTCACTGGAATTCTGCTGAAGAATATTTATCAAAATTGAATATGTACCAGACTATCCATAAGCAAGTCTTGAAAAATTACTGTTTTGAAATTGTTTAGAATATGTCCCCATACCACAGTAGAATTAGCTTTAAGATAAGATTGTATTGGTGTGTATTGTGTCTCTCTGTGAGTGTTGCCACATCGGGGGAGGGGTACTGGTGGAGGTCAGAAAGGGGTGTCAAAGCCCCTAGAAGGGGAGTTGTGGGCAGTTGGAGCAGATTAGTGTGGTTGCTGGAGACTGAACTTGGGCCCTCTGGAAGGACAATGAGTATTCCTCCCCACAGAGCCATCTTTCCAGCCCCCAAATCAGATTTTAAAAACCATGACAGCCTCAGTGTTTGAAAATGAACCTCTTCACTTCTGAAGACCTTATGTGTCAAGAAGAAACATCAGTGCAATGCAGTTCATAATTAGAAGGAAATTACAGTGGGAAAGCAGAGAGACAAACTTCCTAGTGCCTAAATAAAAGCATACTTAGAGGGAAGTTTGTTGTGCTAAGTTTATATATGAGAGAGAAAAATACTGAAGCATAAGTGACCCCTAGGGAACAAGAACTTCGAAAGAAAGTCAGCTCCAAAGAAAATGGAAGGGCAGAGAGTGATGAAGTCAGAATAAAGGTTTAAAGGGAGACCATTCAATGGAGAAAAAAAAAAAGCTGGTCCTTTGTAAAAAACTAATAAAATTAGTAAGACCATAAAACTTTCCTGAAGAAAAATGGGGAAGGCACAAATGACTGATATAGAGAATGAAATAATTTATAATATAATATGAGGAAATTAGCTACAAATTTTAGAAAAATCACAACTTCTCAAAGCCACAAAGAAAGAAATTGAAAATAGGTGTACTTTTATGTCTCTTAAAGAAATGAAATCTCAGTGTCAAATACTCCCATTAAGTCCAGGTCCAAATTGACTCAAATGCTCTAAGGGGTGCTAACTCCCCTTAAACTTCATTTTCATGCAATATAACCATCTTTCTAATTCACTTCACGAGACAGCATAACTTTATGGAAGGCTGACAAGGGCTGTACAAGAAAGAAAAATTGCCAGTCAATTTCTTTCATGAATGCAAATGAAAAATCCTGAACAAAATGCTAGCAAATTGAATTCCATCATGCATAAATAGAATAATACATTACAACCAAATCAAGTCAAGTTCAGCACTATGAGATTGTCTTACCATTAAAAATCAATGAATGGGGCCAGAGAGACGGTTCAGTGGGGGAAAGTCCCTACTGCCAAGACTGTCGATCTGAGTTTGATCCTCAGGTCTAACATGATAAAAGACAAGAACTGACTCCTGCAAGTTTCCTTGACCTCTACAGGCATGCCATGTCTCTCAGACTCAGATATGAATACATACAAATGAATGAATGAATGAATGAATGAAATGAATGAGTAAATCAAAATAAATGAATGTGTGTATGTGCACACGCACAACACATACATACACATACATTGTTATATAAAGAGAATTATGGGCTCTTGGGGGCTGGAAAGATGGCTCAGCAATTAAAAGCATGGGCTGCTCTCACAGAGGATCTGAATTCAGTTCCCAGCATCCATGCTGTGACTCACAACTGTCTGTAACTTCAGTGCTAGAAGACCTGGACCCTCTGTTAAAGCCACTCTGGACACTGCATGAATATGGTACATGTGCACACATGGAGACAAAACTCTCATACACTAAGACAGATAAATCTTTTTAGGAAACAGAGATTGTGGTTTTGATATGACATGTAAAGAGCTTGAAAGTCTTCAGGCTCACCACCACAGCCTGCAGCCACCAGCATCACCAAAAATCAACACCTCTTTACTCATCATTGAACCAAGGTCCCAGGACAACCTAATGCTGGATTTGGGGATTTCAGTGTGACCCAATGTGTGTGTCTCTGCATCTGTTTGTGTTTCTTGTGCTCTTTTTTTGGCTCTTTTTTTAGAGTGGTTGTTTATTTTTGTCCCATTTCATTTGTTTGTTTTTATTTAATTTTGTTTTTAGATGCCTGTTCATTTTCTAATGAGAGACAGAAAGAAAGGGTGTGGATTTTGTTGGGTGGGGAGCTGGGGAGGAGCTGGGAGGAGTTGGAGGAGGGAAAAGTGTGATCCAATACATTGTATTAAAAGATCTATTTTCAATAAAGAAAAAAATCAATATTTGTTGAGAACATGAATTGCATTTTTCTACATTTTCTCAGAGCTGGGACCTCTTTTCTGTACGGACAGTAAGTTGGAGAACAGCTGAGACATGGCTATAGAGACATGGCTATAAATTTCTCCTGTATAAGTGTGGGTGGCTGGGTGAAAATGTGACCATTGACCTTGATGATGGGTCTAGGGCACAAGAGCTCAGCCCTCTAAATCCCTGGACCAGGCTCTTGGTACAATAATTGCCCCGGGTCACACTAGGGACAGTGGCTTGGCAGGATCCCCTTTAGTTTTGGGAAGTTCTCTTCCTGGGTAGAATGCCTGCCATCCAGTCAGTTTCATTGCTCTTTTCTGGGGATTTCCCACTTTCCTTTGTGTCCTGCTTACCAAAAATACAGGAGCTAAGGGCATTGTTGAAAGGCAGGTGATCTCCATGTGTCTCTTCTCCAGCCTCAGGTCTTGATATGTTATGTAAAAATCAGTGTAATCTGCAGACACAGTCAGCTTGCCATTGGCCTTGTTGTAGTACTTTACATCAATGTCAGAAACGTCAGGGCCCCAGGTAGGATTCCACTGGTCATTGCTCTTGACTTTCATGAACCTGAGTGTTCGACTGTGCTCTGTTAGAACCAGGCAAAGTGCCTTGCTCCATCGCCCATCAGATCAGGAAGTATTGACTCCAACAAAGGCTTCCCTTCCAGGGAACAGAACTTTAGGAGGAAAATCCTGGCTGTTTCAAGATCTGCTCCAGATAAAGTGGTCATCTAGACAATTTCACATGAAGTAGCAGTTTCATCTGCCATGGAAGTATAGCCACAATTATCCATGAAGGGCACCTTGCCAAAAAAATGTGTCAGCCAGCTTGCCATTTTGAATGAACAGTCAGAGGGCCTGTGGAGAAGAAAACATTCAAGTCTTCAAATCATAGGTGCCTGCATAGAATTCCAGTCCCTTCATGGAAGACTCAGTTGTACTCATGGGGGTGACCGCCATGCAGATACGGTGGTAATAGACAGCCTTTCAGTCCATCTTACAGTCGAGGTTGGAAACAACATTGTTGAGATTCTTCACTCTAGATTTTCAGGTGAGGGCTTGACAGAAGATAGTCTGTCTTCTGAAGCAAGGATGGACACCTCAAAAGACTATTTCTGCCATTAAAGATGAGTGTAACTCTTTTAACATTGACCTTCTTGTCCAGACTGTGAATAAGCAGGAGCAGTGATGCTGGCTCACTCTCCATGGTTCCAGTGAAGAGCTCTTTTAAAAGCTAGAATAGTGATGACAAAATAGAACCAACCTCCCAAAGGAAGCTTCTGCAACCTCCTTTCCCCAAGTGAGAAACATGGAGGAGACCTCCTCAAAGTGGGTGCCTTTGTCCCTAACTCCCTGTCATTACCCTTCTGAGTCATTTGCACACCACCCCCACTGCCTCTTACGACCAGGTAGGTTCAATTATCCAAAGGAATCTTTGATGCTGGGACAGTTTACATACAATTCCAAGTGTGCTTTGGTTGTCTGCACCACCATTGGTCGTGCAAGCAGCTGTTCCATGTGGGGGAGAACTACAAAGTTTGGAGTTCATATCACTTTTGATATGGAGCTCCTTGCTCCCTTTCTTGAAGCCACCTGAATAACGATACAGCATGCAGGATCAATAGGACCCTAGAGTCAGCTAATTCCATCAATAGTCCTTGACCAGGAGAGTGGAAGACTCCAAGAGGACAGAGCTAGTAGACTGGCAAATGTCAAACAATAGCACCTCTGCTCTCAGAACAGATTTTATCTTTAAGGTAGCATGCACAAATAGCATGTTTTATTTACACACACACACACACACACTCACACACACACAGACACACACACACACATACACACACACAGACACACACACAGACACACACACAGACACACACACAGACACACACACAGACACACACACAGACACACACACAGACACACACACAGACACACACACAGACACACACACAGACACACACACAGACACACACACAGACACACACACAGACACACACACAGACACACACACAGACACACACACAGACACACACACAGACACACACACAGACACACACACAGACACACACACAGACACACACACAGACACACACACAGACACACACACAGACACACACACAGACACACACACACTCACATACACACACACACAGACACACACACACACA